AAATATAGCCCAGACCACCTGGGGTCTGGGGAAGGGCTGAGTGAGGAGCTGCCACTTGGGAAGGATGGAAATGCAAGCATGACTTGTGGGATTGTTTCCCTGTCATCCCTGAATTATGCTATTCATCTTCTCCCCTGCCACGTAAATGCTGCTCCCCCTCCAGCCGCCCCACCCTACGCGCTCCCACCCCCTTTCACATCTACGATACGGTTGTGTGAGTACAGGCAGAGAATTAGATGTTGTGGTGGTGATTTACACCAAGGAAGGCCCGCAAGAGGCAGATGCAGGATCCCATCCTGCCACCCAGCCTCCCCGCTGGCAGTTGGACGTGCTGGCAAACTAACACAGGCATGGGGCGTATGGCCCCTGGGATGGGGAGGAGAGGGGACATGGTGCAATCCCCCTGCAACACGTCCTGGGGATGCTGGGCATGGCTGTGGGAAGAGGTGTGGGCAAGCCTCGTGTGCCACCGTTGTGGAGGGGGCAACCAGCCCTGCTGCCACGTGGTGACAATGGGCAGGATGCGACCCGAGGGCCCGTGGAGGAGAGGAAGCTGTGGCCAGCTCCGGAGTGACAGTGACTGACGTGAGCTTGCCAGGAATCTGTTGGGGAATATTTTTATCTGCTGGGTGTGAGTGTGCTGCACGTCAGAGCCATCTGCTGCACAGTCGTTTTGGGGAGAGCTGGGAAGTGCAGGCATGAAAATCTGTGAAAGTGAGTGCATTCCTGTGCCCTTCAAAGCTCTGTGTCCCCAAGTCTCCTCCACTCAGCGTCCGGGGACAGGGCAGAGATGACTTGTGCTTCTCTGGGGGAAAGACAAGCGCTTGCATTCCCTAAAATGGAGATGGTCTTGAGCTCCACACAGCAAGCCCCATGCCTTGCAAACCAGTTTGGAAACAGGCAGCTGAGTGAAACAGTGGCAGCAGCCTCATTGCATTGGCCAGCCTGTTTTCCACTGCCCTCCTAACATCTTCCCATTTGGCATTGCTTTGGGAAACATGCAGCGGACATCCAGCATCTCCCTGCTGCAGGAGGCACAAAGAAGCCAACCCACACCTTAACCCAATGCCTAGCAGCTACTGCGGGAGGTTTCTGTGCACTGGGTGAAGTAAAGGAGCCCTGGGATAAAAATAAGTGATAAAAATAAATGGAGACATCAGCCCAAGCTGAAACACTGTATCTGCTTGCCCTAAAATATCAGGCCATTGACATTTGAAACCCATATTCAAAGCCTCATTTTGCAACAAACAGAATCCCCCCCCATCCTCGTGACACATGCCCCGGATTAAACACCCTCTGAATTTGTGGTATTTGGGGTTTTATCAAAAGAGAGTGTTTCCACTTGAGCTGCCCTCGTTCCAGCCCGGCTCCTCCACCGCAGGAGAGCGAACACGCCTGGTTCAGGGTTGCAATGAGCCGGCTCCTGCTGATGAGCGGTGTCTGGGAAGACACGCCTGTCCAGCTCCTTTTCAACACTTTCTAACCTTCTTGTGGCATAGGCTTTCCTGCCAGAGTGTAGGATTTAATCACCCTTAATGATAGCCAACCCAAGGGCTATCAGCCAGGTTTTCCTAAAGGACTCCATCTGAAATCTTTATCTACATACCTCCCCCCATTAAATTCCCTGACAAATGAGTGGAAACACTGCAGGGCTGTGGCAGGCTTCAAGCCAGGACCAGAATTAAACAGAATAGATAGCTTAAGCCCTCCTAGGACCCCAGTGGGGTTTGTAGATGTAATTGGTGCCAGTTCTGGGTTTGGGCTGTTCTCTAATGCTAAGAGCTGTTGATACTAGAGGACTGTCCTGTGCTGACCAACCTGAAGTTAAAATCAAGCCAGTGAAACCTGAATACATGGGAAGGATTTGAACTGATTTTTACCCTAAGCTGGTATATTGCTGATGTGCACTTGATCAATACCAATAAGATTCATACTGACTTACCTACATCCCCCTGAAAGGTTTGTCCCAGTTCCTCCAGAGAGGATTTAAAGTGACTTTAATTAATTCGACACAACGTTGTTGTGCAGATGAAATATGGGGTGCAGGATGATGCCCCTGGCATTGTGTCTGGCAGAAGCAGCATGCCCAGCCTTTGGGACAAGGTCTGTGCCAGCAGGACTGGGCAGGAGCTGGCTCTGCCGAGTCAGGTGCCCCTGTGACGGTGGCAGGATGTATTCAGGGGCCCCCAGGTGACAGCATGGGCTCAGCTGTCTGCACAGGTTGGGGAGAAGGGGGACATCAGCCCCCACCCCGATGGTGTGGATCATCAGGATACCTATGCTTCAAGAGATTGTCTCCATGTGCTGCTGCTCCGTGCCCTTAGTCTCTGTTGTGGCAGGGCACAAGGTGTTTACTAGGGCTGGGAAAGAAACATCGAGGCTGGTAGTAGAGATAGTAATGGGGAAGAGTTTGGGGGAAGCAGGAAGGAGACGCAAGTCAGATTTTTTTTTGCCCTGAAAAAACCCTCAGCATCCTTTTAAAACTAAAATGCAAGTTTTCCCCTCCACTTTTCTCCTTTTTCTCCCTGGAAACAGAAAGAAATGGGAAAGGGGAATCACTGAAGAAGTTTGGGGTGTGGAGGCTGAGAATGTTCTGCCAGAAACAAGAAAACACTGAAGAAATAGAAAAAAAAATAAATCAGTGAAAATTTTCCTTTTGAGAGAGGCCACTTTTTCATTCCTTAAAAAAAAGTTTTTCGTGAAAAATTTCAGGCAGTCCCATTGTTTTGTTGCAGCCTTTGATTTAACTACTTGATCAAGTATTCGACAAAACCCTCCGTGTTTTTCAGGAGGTTTCTTAAATCCTGCCGAGGTATGGGATTATGAGAAACAACAAATGGCAAGCTGTCTCTAACCCCACAGACTTTCTCACTCTCGTTTTCTCTCTCGCTTTGGAATAAAAAATGCAGTGCTCCCTGCTGAGTTCTCTTTAAAATTCACATTGTCTCTTCAAATAAAGGCTGGGAGGGTGAGGTAGTGCTTTGAAAACCAGAACTCAGTCATACATTGCAGGGCCAGATCCTAGAGGATTATTCTCTCTCAGGACACTTTATAACTTCATGAGAACTTCTGGCCTGGCTTGTCTCACCAGCCAAGCGTGAGCGGCCCCAGTGGATGGCAGGGTGACCCTCTCTGAGCCCACGGGTCGGAACCAAGCTCTTCACCCCGCTTTATCCTCTCCACCGTGGCTGTCCCAGGCCGGGCTGTGGTTATGTGTCATTCCGTGACTTTTGGTGCAGTTCCTCGACTGCAGCATCCTGCATATTGAGAGCTGCTGGCTTCACTGCTGTAAGGCTTCAGCTGAAGCACAATTCCCTGTCCCCCAAGAAGTGGCTGGTGGGGCAGTGTGACTGTGCCTTGCTGTCCGAGAGGCTCTTGACAGGGAAATGACTGGGGGGTTCTTTCCTCCAACCCACATTGCACTGCATTGCACTGACAAAAGCTTCAGAGGCGGGGAGGGTGAAGTTGGCATCTTTGCCGTAGTTGTTCTGTGTCTTTCCCCAGTGTTGCACAGGGAGAAATGAGCATAATAAATAAGCATACTAAAACGTGTGTTTCTTTGTTTAAATGATGCTATCGCTAGGCCATTCCTCTGCAGCAGGGCGATTTACCCCTTTGGGCACTGTCCTGGCACAGCACCTGGCACAGACACAGGCACACTGAGCCCTCACCGTGCCAGACACTGCAGGAAAAAAGCAACAGCCGACAAAGGACAGGCAGCCTGCTGCTTTGCAACCTTTCCAGATGCAGGGGCCACTCCATCTTTTTTGAAAAAAAACAAACAAACACACCAACAACAAACTCCCCGCTCCAGCATGTGCTGCGTTCCCCTCCCTGTGCTTTCCACCCATGGGTCACTGAGAGCCAGGCTTGTGTCCAAAGGCTGCCAGCTCTTGTCCTGCCCCTGACACATGCGTGGGGCCACAGCTGGGTTTGACCAAGGGCTCTTGGAGCACTGGGGGACCTGGTGTTAGTGTGGGACAACGGAGTTCCCCTGTCCCTTGCCTTTAGAAATCCTCTGTCAGAGGCTAATGATTTGCTTTTAATAGTGGAGCATCTTCATCTGGGCTTAAGCAGCCTGAGTGACATCGAAGCCCAGTGAAGCTAGGATGGTGCCTGCTGCTCTTGCAGTACTATTTCCGTGCTTTTCAGCAAACAGCAGCTAGCAGCAGCTGTTGGGCTGAAACCTCTGGTGCTTACGCACAGGCTGCTCCCTGCACCCCAAGGCAGCACGTGCCAGCCGTCTGCCTTGCTTGTTTGCATTTATTCCCGTGCCTGTTTGCAGGGCTGGAAGGGTGAGGGAGGAAGAGCGTCCAGAGCAGTTTGGGGCTGTGGCTCATTCGGCCTCTGTCCTGCCAAACTCTTGGAAACAGAGGATTGGTGGGGAAAAACAAACAAACAAACAAAAAAAGCACGGTCGGTTTTGCCGAGTCTTTCACGCACATCGTTCAAACCTGTGACAGCGCCGTCAAAATTCACCAGCTTAGTGGCTCTGTTAAACCTGGAGCAGAGCTGCACCATCTACAGACAGCTCCAGCCACAAAAGAGCAGCCAACCCAGCCGTTCCCAGCCCGGCTCGGGGCATTTCGCTTTCCCTCGTGGGGCATTTTGGAGCCGGCGTGGATGCCCGGCGGGGCGCCCCCAGAGCCCGGGGCCGTTCAGCCTTGAGAGGCTCGAGGGGGCTCGGGCTCGGGGGCTCCCCGCGGGGTCTGGAGAGGGGGACACGGGCAGGGGGCGCCCGCTGGGGGGGACACCACGCCGTCGGCGGGCGGGCAGCGCCGGGCTCCGCTCCGCTCCTGCCTGGCCGGGCGGGCGGATCCCAGCTCCTGATTTTCCCGGGGGCTGCAGAGGCTTGTCCCGGCCCTGCGCGATCCTGCTTGGCTGCCGCCCTCCCCGCCTCCCTCCTCCTCCTCCTCCTCCTCCACCTCCTCCTCCACCACCCCATGTGCTTCCTGCCGGGCCAAGTTTGCAGAGCGCCGCCGCACGCCGGGCCAGCGGAGCGGAGCCGGAGCGGAGCGGAGCCGAGCGGGGCGCACGGAGCACGGCGGCGGGGCCGGGCCGAGCCGTGCCGGACTAGGGCAGGGCAGGGCAGGGCAGGCTCGGCGGAGGGGCCGGCTCCGGCTCCGGGCTCTCTCCCCGGCCCCTGCCCGCCCGCACCATGCCGCGGCGGCGCGGCTGCCTGCCGCCCCTCGTCTGCACTTTAGCCGCCCTCAGCCTGCCGCTGCTGCTGGCCGCCGAGCCCCGTGCCAAAAGTTGCTCCGAAGTGCGGAGGCTCTACGCCGCCAAGGGCTTCAGCCAGAGCGAGGCGCCCAGCCACGAGATCAGCGGTGAGTCGGGGGCAGCGCCGCCGCCTTTGTGCGAGCCTCGGCCGGGCCCCGGGGAGCGCCCGCGGCTCGCCGGCTCGGCACGGCCCGACCCGGGCTGCGGGGACGCGGCTCCCCGGGAAGGAAGCACCCCGCGGGGCGCACGGCTTCCCGGCCTCGGGCGTGAGGCTCCCGGAGCTCGGCGCGGCTCCTCCGGGCTCCCCCCTTCGCCGTGCCGTGCTGTGCCGTGCCGGGGCGGCGGGCGGGACCGTGCCTGTTGCCGGTTCCCCTCCCCGCAGCCGGCTCCGTGCCCCCGGGCTGCCGCTGCCCCGCGGCCGAGGGGCGACCCGGGCAGCGCTGCGAGGCGGCCGGGGCAGGGTAGGGGAGCGCAGCCGTCCCGCCCAGGTGCCCTGCTGCTGCCGAAGTAGGGGGACAAATGATTATTTTTTTTATTTTTTTTTTTCTTTTTTTTTTTTCCTTCCCCTTTTTCCCTCCACATTCGTCCCGAGATACTTGCGCATCCCGGGGACAGGAGTGCTCGCAGCCGGCAGCAGTAGGAAATGGTAGCTAATGTGCTCACACCCAAAACATTTTATTCTTTTTGTTTCATCCTTCATCTCCCTCCCAGGGCTGCTGCTTTTATTTCCCCTTCTGAATGACCTACTGGACCGCATTCTCCGCGGAACAAAGGAAGTGCCTTTTTAGCTGGAATCCTCGGAGACCACCAAGGACTCCAGCTCATGCACTGCAATTTCGCACTACTTTCAACAATAACAAAAATGCATGACTGAATGGCTCAAAAATGTGGAGTGTTAGAGGCATTCATTTCAGTCTAGGACACTGTCACAACACAGACAGACCCCAAGTAAATACCTTTAGATGGCTAATATAGAAGCTGGGGGTAATCTTTACCATCGGTGTGCCCTCCAGATATGCATGCATTATCCTTTTCACTGACAAACTAAAATGATTTCAGTCGGTTCCACTTTTATATTGTCAGACTAATGATATGCATTTAGCTTACATCTGTTTGAGTAAAATTGAGGGTCCATTTACTTCTCCAAGAAATATTTTAATGAGAAACGTCTGACTGGTTGCAGTTAAAATACTCTCTCCACTTCGCCCTCCCTGCTTTGTAAAATAGTCTTTAATAAATAGCCTTGCATTTGGTTCGAGTCCAGCCCTTGTGGGTGTAGGATCAGGGCACGGGCAGGCTTCCTCATATGCCTGGTATCTGGAAAGTTTGACCCTTAACTTATTTTGTGTATTGTTACTTAAGATGACTTGGCTAGCTTTGGAGGATGTCAGGACTAGATCCTGCTGGCAGGGCTTCCATCTGAGGCTCTGAAGCTGTTGTTGGTTTGACCCTGCCCTGTTGCAGTGAGGGGTCAGAGAAATATGATGAGCAAGGTAAGATTATTTGACAAAAGAAGGGCTTTCTGCAGTGACATGCTGAAAATCTCAGCCGGGTTATACTGCTGTCCAGGGGTGTGGGAGGTCGGTGTCTGGCCTGGCTTGGAAAGCAACAGGTCTCATGAAGTTACGTTTTAAATGTCATCCTACCCTGCGGGGCGTTTCGGAGGGGATGGTGGAAGTCCTTAAAGGAAGCCTGCTGTGTACACCGCAGGTACAATTGCACTTGAAATTTAAGCTTGCATGGGGTGTATCACCTGCTATAGTTTCATATTCCCCCTGCAAGTTCAGTTTTGGCGCTGTTTCGGTTTTGGTGTGGTGTTTAAGGGCTCCTGATCTTCCCTCTTGCTGCTCAGCTATTGTATGCAAATAGGGAGATGGTAACAGCTCGTGCTGCTGCTGGCAGTTGACTTCCTGAGCATGTGATAGTTCACCTGCTGCAGTGTCTCTGGGGGGTGCAGGAGCCTGGGGGGTCCCATTGAGCAGGGAACTAGGTCCTGATAATGCTGAATGGAGGCTGAGGTCTGACACTGAGGTCTAAAGGTCCCTAGTGAATATTGCATCTCAGAAATGAGTCACCCACCAAACCTCTGATTTCAGGTGGTGTTTCAGGTGATAGCGATGTGTTTTCACTCACCAGGGTGAGCTGGGAAGGCAGTTACCCACGAGGTTGGCTAATCAGTGAGAACAAGATAAACGTGTATGAGGGAAGGAGCTGTGTGTTTTGACGCGTATGGCTCTAGAAATGGGACTTATGCTTGGTAGCCTCGCTCCCCTGGCTGCGACGTGGCTGCAAACAGGTTGTGGAGTGTTCAGTGGGCTGTAGTGCTGGTGGGGGAGGTACAGAAACATGGTTGTTACAGGGCTTGAGTTCAGTCCAAAGTCTGTCAAGTTCTGTTTTAGATTTTAGTGCTGGTTTGGTAGATTGCCTGTTATTCTCCTGCAGAATTGCTTCAGAATGCAGTGGACAGGCAGAAACTTCCTAGCACCTCTCCAAAAAAGTGCCCTAAAAGCTGTGGCAAACTAGTTTCTGTAAGTCAGGTGAGTTCTTAAATGTTAAAGCAGGGCTTACTGATGTACAAAACCGTTGGCCTTGAATTGTCAGTGGCCAGACTGTATGGGCACGTCTGCATGGGCAGACGTGTTCCTACCCTGAGCTGTGACATAGTGAGTGACACGTCCTCACCTGATGGGCTCAGGAATCATTCCAGGATATAGCGGCATTTCTCTTTTTCTTTTTTTTTTTTCTTTTCTTTTCTATTTTTGTGTTCTTCTGGAGCAGTAGGTATGTGCAATATCTTTCTTTGCTGAAATGGGCATTTCTTTTAATCTTTTCATCCGTGTCATTGCAGTTTTAGTTTCATTAAATGACTGTTGTTTGTTCATAATTACCTAGGAGTTTCATTTAATATTTGTTTAGACTAGGTTTGGGACCTAATTAGAGTATGTGTAAATGATAGGTTATGTCTTGCAGGCATACATGGGCATTTCTGAAAGAAGTGCACAGCTGGTCAGCTCATGGCTTGCTTGATAAGAGGTGCATAATGTGTTCTTTGTAGTGTGGAATACAGAGAAATTGTTTCCTTTTATGTTAACTTGGTGTTGGAGGTGTAAAGAGATGTTAGTGTGAGAAATCTGCATGGAAGCATTTCATAAGTCGTGGCTCTTTGGTGCTGCCTTACATCTGAGTGATCTTTAGGAGCTTCTGCACCTATAGCCCTGTGATGCTCTGTGTCTCAAAGGTGAAGGCTGCAACTTCAGGACTTCACCCCTAAATCTTTGGGGAAGGCAACTGCATCCTGCCTGATATTTGGTGTGAGGTGCTGGGATGGTGGAGGTCTGGTGTTGCTCTACAGGAGCTGGCTGCTGTTGGTGACTCTGAGGTACCCTGCAGATGGGAACAGGGTGGTTCCTGCAGTGCCTGTTCCAGGGGGATGGCCTGTGAATCAGTAAAGTGTTTCTTTTTTTTTTTTTGGCTGTATTTTCCCAGCCCGGGCAGGGATGACTTGGAAAGATGTAGGTGAAAGTCTCAACTTTTTTTTTTTGGAAAAGTGGAGACTTCACAAAGCATATGTGGCTGTTTTTTTCTATAAATTTCCTTTAAAGGCTTTCTGTGGAAAGGGCACATCCCAGGACGGTACTAGTCCTGCAGCCTGTTGCTGCTCACTTTGTTCATGCACTACCCAAAAGTATTGCTCTGTATTGAATCCATACGTCTCAGGGTTGTCTGTGGTGGTGGTGGAGCATAATTCCCTGGAGCAACTGTCTGCAGTGGCTGCTTGCACCAGTTGGTCTTGTGCAGGATGAAATGCAAGGTGAGCTGGTGGTGGTGGCATCTGCGAGACCATGGTGGTGGCAGCATCCATAAGACCCTGGTAGGTGGCTGTTATTAAAAAAAAAATAAAAAATGAAAAGAAACTACAACATTCCTTTTAACTGAGGCTCTTTCTTGTTCTAAGGTGTTAAATAGATGGAAATTTCTTCCCTTTTCCTACTAACTGGAGGGAATGGATGTTTCTTTTCCCTGATTAAAAAGGAAAAAAGACCTTGCCAGTCAATGGAAAAATGTTGTAAGTTGGCCTGTGAGTGTCCTATAGAAGTGTAATGAGTTCCTTCAGCAGCACTGCTGTTCTGGTTTCTTGTGTGGATTTCATAGGGGCTTGGAGGCTTACCTGGGGGAAACGCCAGCCTTTGCAGGGAGCTGAAAGCAGGCAGCACTGTGTGCTGTCTTACCAGAGATAGTCTTTGTCTCTCTATTTAAACCAAGTAAATGGAATAGCTGCATCTGTTTGTCTGTGGTGACTGAGAGAGGTTCTTTCATCGTGATAGAGAAAATTGTTTGCCCTTCAATTTTGGGCTTATGGGATTTAACAGCTGCCCAAAGGAGCTGCTGGAGGGGTGCCTTGCTGCTTGCTCACCCCTGTTGTGTTTATAGTTGTCACCTGAGTGCTGTCACCAGTGTGTCCCCCAGGCATGCCTTGGTTGATGGGAAAGGCTTCTCTCTCAATGTATAAAATTCTACAAATGCTTCTTTATTTCTTCATATGCTTCTTGGTGAAAAGAGGCCACATGGAAAAGCTGTTGTTGGTCCTGGTCCTGGGTGGCGTTGCTCGTGCCGCCCGACGCTGCTGAGCCCGCTGCAGGATGTCTGCACAGAACAGCTCGGGGACTCAACCACAGAACAGCCCAGGCTGGAAGGCGCCTGGAAAGATTGTGAAGTCCAGCCCTAAGTAGAAAGGAGCCTAGACGAGATTGTTCAGCAGCCTGACCAATTGCATCTCCCAGACCTGCAGTGATGGGGATACTACCGCGTCCCAGGGGAGGCTGGGCCAGGCTTGGTGCGCTACGAGGAGCACGGGACAAGGCCACGTCCTCTTCACCTTCTGTTTGAAGGTGCGGAGCTCCCTGCCCACCAGCAGCAGCTCTGTTGGCAGTGGCTCTCATCACACGGCTGTCCTGGCGGGTAGGGTGGGTTCTCGTGCCCGGCATGTATTAATAGAGCGATTGTCTGGCCACCCGTGGGTGGGGAGGTAGCTGTCGGAGAACGTCCTTGCGGCAAATGCGAGCGCTGGCATGGAAAAGTAAACGAGAAAATCGCTTGAAGTATTTTT